TGTTTCATGTGTAACTTAATATTAAAATAAACTTCATCAAATAATAAGTTTTTAATTTTAATTTCAGTCTCCGGAGGCAGTGGGCGCGGCGGCAGGAGTGGAAGAGGAGACAGACGGGGCCGGTCAAGAGCTAGAAGCGGCCGCCGCCGCCTCTCTGAGAGCAAGCCGGGCGATATTGTAGAATTATTGCGGGGCGGCCGTCCTATTCGATTAAAATTTAAGTTTTGCAAATTAGTGATTAATTTATAAAAAATAAATAAAAATTTAAAATATATTATGTTTGTTTTAGTTTGTGTTAATATATTTTAATAATTATTTACAATACTGAGCGTTTGTTCGAGCGCAGAGAAATCTCGCTACTGGATAGCTAATATGAAATTCATTAGCGAAACAAAAACAGGTTTTAAAATCGTTCGTTACGATCGCGTATCGGTCGAGCCTCCGTCCCATTAAATAATCATTAAGTAAAAAAGAAGATTTAACATCAAGCAAACGTACAAAAAGGGCTGAATTACTCCATGGGCAAAGCCTAAATCTTTTCGAAAGATATAAGTCATTTGTCATCATAATGTTAGTTTGAGATGTAAACAAATCGTCTCACAGACTACCGTAAAAAAACAATCTGTAGACTACTACATATTACATACTACATATACCATTTACTAATAAGTTGGGAAACTATCACGAATTTTTGTGACTTGAAAATGTGCTGCCATCTAACAAATTCACAAAGAACTTAAGAAATTGAAAAACAGGATTTTTTTTTTAAATTTTTATGGCATTTATTAGGCGGAAATTTGAAAATTATCGTAGATTTGAATGAATTGAACTACAATAAATGAACCACATATAATAGGCAAATATTGTTTAATTACTTAAACTCTTTACTTAAACTCTAAACTTATTAAATTAGATTTTATCTAGAATCTAATTAAGAAGATTCTATTACGAATTTTTGTGACTCGAAAATGTGCTGCCATCTCCGTACTGAATTCGTAAGTAATTAATAAAATGTCTTAGTCTAACGAAATATTCGATTACATTTATGCTTAATAAATCCTTTAAAAATTAATAAAGAAATGAATGATATATTGTTTGGCAAAAGAGAAATATTAGATATCGAATGTGTGAAGTTAGAACCTAACTTCAGTTCTCAATAGTTCTGATTAGAGTTCAAAAGTCACTTGTATTTTTTTGCATGAAGTGATTTTTGAGATTTTTGAAGTTGGGTTTCTAACTTCACTCATTGATTTCTACTATTTTTTTATTTTTAGGGCCGACAAAGGAAAATCAGGAGAGAAATTATGAATAGAATTGTAAATAGAAATGAAAATAAAGGATCACAAATAATTTTAAAGCTAATTTTTCTCAGAGTATGAGGCAGCGGCCAAAACCGCGGTACTAAAGGCAAGGCCGTCAGGCCTTGCCTTTGGGCCGCGGGGGGGTTGAAAGGGGGCGCAGCCCCCTTTCCGAGCATAAGCGAGTCTAATATATATACAGCTGAAAGCGACACTCATTCACTGATTCATTGGCGTGTTTTTTTTTTTACGGCTTTATTCGCGGAGTAAAAAAACGGAAAAAAATCCTATCCTACGTAAATCGACGAGATCTATCGGAAAATCGACATTTCGAAACCCGGAAAAGTTTCCTTCCGGGTAAAAAACCGGATTTTTACCCTTTTTTTTGTCGTTTTTTGGAGTTTTTCGGAATTTCTCAAAAAGTACCCCGACGATTTTTTTTAAACTTTCCTAAAATATTCTTCATTTGATTATTAATTACTTCCCGCAAACCGCATTTCCAACAAAAGCTTAGTTTCCAAGTTATAGGGAAATGAAAATTTTCCCGGATTAAAATTTTAAACAAATACACTCCATTTACTCGGAAACTATTGGGTTTTCGAAAAAAATTTATTCTTTCAAAATTGTTAATTGGAGTTTCTTTCAACCAACAAAACAAACCCGATTATGATATCTTAACCCGTTCCGGAGTTATAGCAGAAAATCTTCGTCGATGCACCGGGATACGGGAGAGAGGGATTCCCGGCCGGTCGCTATGCTAGCGCGTGTGACGTCACATCGAGACACAAAGAGAACGGAGAGGGACCATCGTCGCATTTCCATCGTTCGGCGAAATGCTGGCTTGTAATTTTTTTTTTTCGGTTTCGGTTCGGTCGGACATTTTGATTTCGAATAATTCGACTTGCCGACGGGAAAAGATGCCGCCGTTCGAACTACTTAGTTTCTCATTTTCGATGGATTTTTTACGTTAAATATAAGGTAAGTGAATTTATATGACGAATAAATAACTCTATTAATAATTTCCTACGATATTTAAATGGTTCTTTCTAGAAATTGTAACGATGGCCTACGAAGAAAATCCTTCTTTCATACATGACGATATATTTGGAGGAATACTACTTTCTGAACGTAAGAACCGTTTAATACGTATGGATATGCAGAAAGACGACTAATCGTGCTTCGATTTATATGAAAAATGAATAAAATCGGTCAAGAAATAATGAAGTTGGGTACAAAAACGTTATACAGGTTAGTTACCCGTAGAATGAAGAGTAAAGTTTTTTTTTAATTACAAATATATTTTCCTTCTTTTGTAGAATTTACACCGGAGAATGGAAAAGAAGGAAGCAAAGGACGCATTTCCATCGTTCGGCGAAATGCTGGCTTGTAATTTTTTTTTTTTTTCGGTTTCGGTTCGGTCGGACATTTTGATTTCGAATAATTCGACTTGCCGACGGGAAAAGTTGCCGCCGTTCGAACTACTTAGTTTCTCATTTTCGATGGATTTTTTACGTTAAATATAAGGTAAGTGAATTTATATGACGAATAAATAACTCTATTAATAATTTCCTACGATATTTAAATGGTTCTTTCTAGAAATTGTAACGATGGCCTACGAAGAAAATCCTTCCTTCATACATGACGATATATTTGGAGGAATACTACTTTCTGAACGTAAGAAACGTTTACTACGTATGGATATGCAAAAAGAGGACTAATAGTGCTTCGATTTATATGAAAAATGGATAAAATCAGTCAAGAACTAATGAAGTTGGGTACAAAAACGTTATACAGGTTAGTTACCCGTAGAATGAAGAGTGGAGTTTTTTTTTAATTACAAATATATTTTCCTTTTTTTTTGTAGAATTTACACCGAAAAATGAAAAAGAAGGAAGCAAAGGACAACTACTAGCTCGAAATAAACCGGAAACAACGATTGGAGTCATATTTTGGATTTTTTCTGCCTTTTTCAACACTCACCGAATAACCCTGTACTTCGATCGAAGAGTCTTTCGAAAACAAGAATAGTATGTTTAATAGGTAAGTACTTAATAATAATAGGTTAATAATACAAAATATCATTCGAATACATTAATTTTGAAAAACAAATCATAAATTTAACGTATTTACGACTGATTTTTTGTTATCCGTTCAATGAAGAATATGTTTTTTTTTTCTTTTACTTATATTTTCCTTATTTTGTAGGAATTACACTGGAAAATAGAACAAAATAGGAAGCAAAGGACAACTACTAGCCCGAAATAAATCAGGAAACAACGATTGGAGTCATATTTTGGATTTTTTCTGCCTTTTTCAACACTCACCGAATAACCCTGTACTTCGATCAAAGAGTCTTCGAACACAAGAATAGTATGTTTAATACGTAAGTACTTACTAATAATACGTTAATACTACAAAATATCATTCAAATACATTAATTTTGACCAAAAATTACAAAAATAACGTAGCAAGAAATGATTTTTAGTAACCTGTAGAATGAAGAGTAGTTTTTTTTTCCTTTTACTTATATTTTCCTTTTTTTCCGGATTTTCAGCGTTAAATTCAAGGTAAGTGAGCTTATTTGACGATTTAATACCTTTACAAAACAATCTACGATATTTAAATGGTCCCGTATAAGAAATAACCCATTTAAAACATTGTAGGTTAAGTTTCATAAAGCCGCTTTTTAACCAAATTATTTTACTTTATAGAGGACCTGCAGCCTATATTTGACAAAAAATAGCTAACTGAAGTTGAGAAAAAGGACCCAGTAAGCATATTGTGTCAAATTCCCTTGATAATTGGTCAATAATTGGATTTGAAGAATGGCCTACGTAGAAAATCCTACCTCAATACATGGTGTTACATTTGGAGGAATACCACTTTTTGGGTGTAAATACAGTTTCCAGAGTATGGATAAGCCGAAAGAGGACTAAGTAAGCGTCGTTTTAAAGAGAAAATGATTAAAATTGGTCCAGAAATAACGAAGATGAATGAACCAAACATTTTACCTTCGTTCGAAGAACTACGTGGGTTACTTTTATTCAAAAGTATAAGCTGCTTAAATCGTAAGTACTTGATAAAAGCTTTATTAACACAAAATATCATTCGATTAAGATTGTTTTATACGAAAATCGTAAAAATTTATTGATATTTAACAAAGTATCGAATGATTTTTTGTTACCCGTAGAATAAAAAGGAACGTTAGATTCTTGTTTTACTTATAATTTTCCCTTATTTTGCAGGATTGACACTGAAAAATAGGAAGTAAATGACTACTAGAAACGTAAAGCAAACCACCAACAACAATTAGGACAATATTTTCGATTTTTTCTACGATTTTTACCATTCTTCGAAACATCTTTTACTTCGATCGGAGTATCCTCGGGTACCAGAATAATGTATTTAAAACGTAAGTACTTACTAATCATATGTTAACAAGACAAAATATCATTCGAATGCATTTACTTAAAACAGAAATCATTAAAATTGGTTGAAAAATAACTTGATAACGAATGATTTTTTGTTATCAGTAAAATTAAAAAGGGTAAATTTGAGTAATTTAGAGTTTCACTGTATTATTTACCGTTTTCTACCTTTTATCAGAATGCTTTTACCTTTAAAATGAATACTGAAAAGGTAAGAATTAAATTTTCTTTGATAATGAACCTTTTTTTAATGATTCTTTTTCTATTTTTTCAGGATTATGAAGCTATTTTGACCGTTTTGTTCCGTTTTCAAGACTACTCTGTCCTTAAAATGAATACTGAAAAGGTAAGAATTAAATTTTCTATTAGAATGAACCTTTTTTTAATGATTCTTTTTCTATTTTTTAGGATTATGAAGCTATTTTGACCGTTTTGTTCCGTTTTCAAGACTATTATGTCCTTAAAATGAATACTGAAAAGGTAAGAATTAAATTTTCTATAAGAATGAACCCATTTTTAATGTTTTTTTTCTATTTTTCAGGATTATTCAGCTGTTTCAAGCATTATGAGAGAGGATTTGAACTCGATATGACTAGCAATACAGTCAATTTGGATAATTTGGAGAGCTTCTTTGGAATTTTGATAGTTTTCTTTCGTTTTCAAGACTATTATGTCTTCAAAATGAATACTAAAAAGGTAAGAATTGAATTTTCTATAAGAATGAACCCATTTTTAATGATTTTTATTCTATTTTTCAGGATTATTCAGCTTTTTTCAAGCCTTATGAGAGAGGATTAGAACTTGATACGACAAGCAATACAGTCAATTTGGATAATTTGGAGAGTTTCCTTTGAATTTCGACCATTTTCTTCCGTTTTCAAGACTATTATGTCTTTAAAATGAATACTAAAAAGGTAAGAATTGAATTTTCTATTAGAATAAACCAATTTTTAATGTTTTTTTATTCTATTTTTCAGGATTATAAAGCTGTTTCAAGCCTTATGAGAGAGGATTAGAACTCGATACGACAAGCAATACAGTCAATTTGGATAATTTGGAGAGTTTCCTTTGAATTTCGACCATTTTCTTCCGTTTTCAAGACTATTATGTCTTCAAAATGAATACTAAAAAGGTAAGAATTGAATTTTCTATAAGAATGAACCCATTTTTAATGTTTTTTTTCTATTTTTCAGGATTATTCAGCTGTTTCAAGCCTTATGAGAGAGGACTCGAACTCGATATGACTAGCAATACAGTCAATTTGGATAATTTGGAGAGTTTCCTTTGAATTTCGACCGTTTTCATCCGTTTTCAAGACTATTATGTCTTTAAAATGAATACTAAAAAGGTAAGAATTAAATTTTCTATGGGAATGAACCCATTTTTAATTTTTTTTCTTCTATTTTTCAGGATTATAAAGCTGTTTCAAGCCTTATGAGAGAGGATTCAAACTCGATATGACTAGCAATACAGTCAATTTGGATAATTTTGAGAGTTTCCTTGGAATTTTGCCCGTTTTCTTCCGTTTTCAAGACTATTATGTCTTCAAAATGAATACTAAAAAGGTAAGAATTAAATTTTCTATGGGAATGAACCCATTTTTAATTTTTTTTCTTCTATTTTTCAGGATTATAAAGTTGTTTCAAGCCTTATGAGAGAGGATTCAAACTCGATATGACTAGCAATACAGTCAATTTGGATAATTTGGAGAGTTTCCTTTGAATTTCGACCGTTTTCATCCGTTTTCAAGACTATTATGTCTTTAAAATGAATACTAAAAAGGTAAGAATTAAATTTTCTATGGGAATGAACCCATTTTTAATTTTTTTTCTTCTATTTTTCAGGATTATAAAGCTGTTTCAAGCCTTATGAGAGAGGATTCAAACTCGATATGACTAGCAATACAGTCAATTTGGATAATTTGGAGAGTTTCCTTTGAATTTCGACCGTTTTCATCCGTTTTCAAGACTATTATGTCTTCAAAATGAATACTAAAAAGGTAAGAATTGAATTTTCTATAAGAATGAACCCATTTTTAATGTTTTTTTTCTATTTTTCAGGATTATTCAGCTGTTTCAAGCCTTATGAGAGAGGACTCGAACTCGATATGACTAGCAATACAGTCAATTTGGATAATTTGGAGAGTTTCCTTTGAATTTCGACCGTTTTCATCCGTTTTCAAGACTATTATGTCTTTAAAATGAATACTAAAAAGGTAAGAATTAAATTTTCTATGGGAATGAACCCATTTTTAATTTTTTTTCTTCTATTTTTCAGGATTATAAAGCTGTTTCAAGCCTTATGAGAGAGGATTCAAACTCGATATGACTAGCAATACAGTCAATTTGGATAATTTTGAGAGTTTCCTTGGAATTTTGCCCGTTTTCTTCCGTTTTCAAGACTATTATGTCTTCAAAATGAATACTAAAAAGGTAAGAATTGAATTTTCTATGGGAATGAACCTTTTTTTAATGATTTTTTTTCTATTTTTCAGGATTATAATGCTGTTTCAAGCCTTATGAGAGAGGATTCGAACTCGATATGACTAGCAATACAGTCAATTTGGATAATTTTGAGAGTTTCCTTGGAATTTTGCCCGTTTTCTTCCGTTTTCAAGACTATTATGTCTTCAAAATGAATACTAAAAAGGTAAGAATTGAATTTTCTATTAGAATAAACCCATTTTTAATGATTCTTATTCTATTTTTCAGGATTCTGAAGCCGTTTCAAGCTTCTGTAATCTCTACGGTCTTCTACAAGTTAGTCAAGACACCTGGATAGCAGAATTTTTCGCTCTAATTGATTCCTTTACCAGCAGATCAATGTCCTTGCGGTTTTTTACGACAGTATATGACGAACTGGATCCGTTCTGAACGATTCTGGGCAGTTCTAAATGACTCTAAAGCGTTGTAAATCGTTTTGGAGCATTCTAAATGATTGTAGAACGTTCTAAATTATTCTAGACTGTTCTGAATGATTCTGAAACATTGTAAATAATTCTAAGACGTTCTATATAAGTTTAAACAGTTCAAAAGGATTCCAAAATATTGTAAATGATACTGGAGCATTCTAATTTATTTTGATACATTCTATATGGGTTTAAATAGTTCTAAAAGATTCTGAAGTGTTTTAAATAATTCTGAACAGTTCTAAATGATTGTAGAACGTTCTAAATTATTCTAAAAAGTTTTAAATGATTTTCAAATATTGCAAATGATACTGGAGCATTCTAAATGATTCTGAAATATTGTAATTATTACTGGAGCATTTTAAATAATTCTAAAACGGTATAAAAAAGGGTTTAAACAATTCTAAATGATTCTGAAAAATTGCAAAAAATACTGCAGCGTTCTAAATTATTGTAGAACGTTCTACATTATGCAAAAACTTTGTACATGATTCTAGAGCATCCTAAATGGTTTTAGATAGTTCTAAATGATTGTAGAGGGTTCTAATGGTACTATAACGTTCTAAATGATCTATACAGTTTTAAATGATTCTGAAGAGTTGTAAGTGATTCCGAGGAATTCTTAATGATTCTAGAATCTTTTAAATAGTTTTAGACAGTTCTAAATGATTTAAAAAAATATTTATTATTTGGTTCTTTCTGTTTTTGTCATCGAGCATTTAATATAAACGTATGTATAAATGCATATTTCGAAGTTTTCTTTTACCTTTTACCAAAATGCTTTCCTTCAAAGTGAATACTGAAAAGAAAAGTATTGAATGTTATATGAAAATGAACCCATTTCTAATGTATTTATTCATTTTTTAGGATTCTGTAACTATTTTAAACGTGAGAGTATTGGAATTCCTGCACCGGCAATTTGATGACTGCGGCCTTTTACTACTTTGACATTTGGGGAACATGATCTTCACTCGCTTAGTGAAGGGTAAATATTAAAATTACCTATGAGAGAGAAGCCTACCATAACTACTTGGGATGCTCGTCATCCGCTTCGCTCGCTCGGTTTATAAAGGTATAATTTGATTTATCTGTAGGAAAGTTTGTTTAGTAACGTGGGCAGTTTTTTCTTCAGATTTCATAAGCCTCTTACTTTTCGGGTCAGTGACCAAAACCGCGGTACGAAAGACAAGGCCGGTAGGCCTTGGCTTTGTGCCGCGGGGGGGTTGAAAGGGGGCGAAGCCCCCTTTCCGAGCTTTCAGCGAGTCACATATATATATAGCTCTAACTCCAAAAAAACAAATGAAGGAGGAAGACCGAAACTAAAACGGAGTTTCTGGGGCATACGGAGGTACATGGGGGGACGTAAAATAATTCGCCGATTACGAAAATCTACCTCTTTTCTCTGGGAAAAAACGAAATTTTCCGTAATTCGATTTTAAAAGTAAAATTTTTGACACATTTCCAAATAAATTACTTGATGGACGTTGCCCGTTCGTTTGGTTTAAACGGAACTACACCGAAATGAGAGATTTTTTTCGTTATTTAGACAATTTCGTCGTTTTTAATGGACGAAAATAAAAGAAAATGCAATAATACGCAAAAATGTACGTTTCTTGGTCATTTGTACTTACCAAAAACGGAGAAACGACCGAATTACTTTTAAAAAAACTACACTAATGACAGCGGCGATGAACAAATTTCAAACTGTCAAAGTTGTCATTTCCGTTACTACGGGATACATTGACATTTAATTTGATGTACAGGGTGTTTTTTCGTTAAGGAAATCGGAAAAATTTATATACGGGGCGTTTTTTTACCTTAAATGAAAAATTATTTTCAATTAAATTGAAATATAGTACAGGGTGACTCGTATTTAAGGAAATGTTAATTATACATAAACCGAGCGAGCGAAGCGAGCGAGGATCCGGCTATATAACTGCCTTTGCGTAGAACGCCGACAGGCGTTCGAGCTGCGGGTCTATGCGGCAGAGCCCATCGTTAACTAGAGCGATTTAGTCGAGCTCGCGCAGCGAGCGAGACCTTTGTTATTTAACAGCCTTTGCGTAGGAGGCCGTCAGGCCTCCGAGCTGCGGGTCCATGCGGCAGAGCCCACAGATTCAGAAAATCGAGCTCGCGTAGCGAGCGAGACCTTTTATGCTTACTATATGAGCTGCCTTACCATGCGGCAGAGCCCACAGATTCAGAAAATCGAGCTCGCGTAGCGAGCGAGACCTTTTATGCTTACTATATGAGCTGCCTTACCATGCGGCAGAGCCCATCGTTTTAGAAAATTGAGCTCGCGCAGCGAGCGAGACCTTTTATACTAACTGTATGAGCTGCGTTGCCATGCGGCAGAGCCCATCGTTTTAGAAAATCGAGCTCGCGCAGCGAGCGAGACCTTTTATACTAACTGTATGAGCTGCGTTGCCGTGCGGCAGAGCCCATCGTTTTAGAAAATCGAGCTCGCGCAGCGAGCGAGACCTTTTATACTAACTGTATGAGCTGCGTTGCCATGCGGCAGAGCCCATCGTTTTAGAAAATCGAGCTCGCGCAGCGAGCGAGACCTTTTATACTAACTGTATGAGCTGCGTTGCCGTGCGGCAGAGCCCATCGTTTTAGAAAATTGAGCTCGCGCAGCGTGCGAGATCTTTTATACTAACTGTATGAGCTGCGTTGCCGTGCGGCAGAGCCCATCGTTTTAGAAAATTGAGCTCGCGCAGCGAGCGAGATCTTTTATAGTAACTGTATGAGCTGCGTTGCCGTGCGGCAGAGCCCATCGTTTTAGAAAATCGAGCTCGCGCAGCGAGCGAGATCTTTTATACTAACTGTATGAGCTGCGTTGCCGTGCGGCAGAGCCCATCGTTTTAGAAAATTGAGCTCGCGCAGCGAGCGAGATCTTTTATAGTAACTGTATGAGCTGCGTTGCCGTGCGGCAGAGCCCATCGTTTTAGAAAATCGAGCTCGCGCAGCGAGCGAGATCTTTTATACTAACTGTATGAGCTGCGTTGCCGTGCGGCAGAGCCCATCGTTTTAGAAAATCGAGCTCGCGCAGCGAGCGAGATCTTTTATACTAACTGTATGAGCTGCGTTGCCGTGCGGCAGAGCCCATCGTTTTAGAAAATCGAGCTCGCGCAGCGTGCGAGATCTTTTATACTAACTGTATGAGCTGCGTTGCCGTGCGGCAGAGCCCATCGTTTTAGAAAATCGAGCTCGCGCAGCGAGCGAGATCTTTTATACTAACTGTATGAGCTGCGTTGCCGTGCGGCAGAGCCCATCGTTTTAGAAAATCGAGCTCGCGCAGCGAGCGAGATCTTTTATACTAACTGTATGAGCTGCGTTGCCGTGCGGCAGAGCCCATCGTTTTAGAAAATCGAGCTCGCGCAGCGAGCGAGACCTTTTATACTAACTGTATGAGCTGCGTTGCCATGCGGCAGAGCCCATCGTTTTAGAAAATCGAGCTCGCGCAGCGAGCGAGATCTTTTATACTAACTGTATGAGCTGCGTTGCCGTGCGGCAGAGCCCATCGTTTTAGAAAATCGAGCTCGCGCAGCGAGCGAGATCTTTTATACTAACTGTATGAGCTGCGTTGCCGTGCGGCAGAGCCCATCGTTTTAGAAAATCGAGCTCGCGCAGCGAGCGAGACCTTTTATACTAACTGTATGAGCTGCGTTGCCATGCGGCAGAGCCCATCGTTTTAGAAAATCGAGCTCGCGCAGCGAGCGAGACCTTTTATACTAACTGTATGAGCTGCGTTGCCGTGCGACAGAGCCCACTGATTTGGCAAATCGAGCTCGCGCAGCGAGCAAGGTCATTTCCACAAATCGTATGTGCTACGTGGGCTATGCGGCAGAGCCCACCGATTTAATAGATTTAGAAAAAAAAGTTACACGAATTAAAAATTATTGTATTTTTAACATTCTACATCCTGTGATTTTACTGTAGTTTTTAATTAATCTAATAATTTAAAATTTTGAAGTAAAATAACATCGCCAACTAATATTTTTGATGCAGGTTCTCGTCCTCATTTGTAGTACACAATGTGAAAACAATTGAAATTCGTTGCTATGCCGGTTGCTATTGACAATTCATTATTTTTCGTAGCCATATTGAAAAATTCTTAAAGCGATTTAATTTGAGTTTTTTTTCATCTGCGAATTAAATTTTGGTATTTGTGTAATTAGTGAAATTTGTGATTTTGGTAATAGTAAGTAAGTCTGTATAATAAATAAAATAGTCTAAATATTTTATAAAGGGTGTCCCAACAAGAACGTCGAATTTAATTTTAATGAAAATTAGAGGGGACGCGTACGGTTCCTTGGTTTTCTTGCACTAATTGAATCTGACCGGGTGCATAATTGCGACGGTTAACTTGACGTAAATTGGCCATTTTTGTAATGTATATTTAAGATAATTTAACATTGTTTGTTTGAATACTTGCCCATATTTGTAAATCGCGTAGTATACACGTGACAACTGTGAAAAAAATCACCCTCTAATTCGTTTTAACCAAATAGCGGCAAATTTAAATCCGGCGCTCTTATGTTAATTAATTGAATGTCAATACTTCAGGATGTGAATATTTGGATGATTTTAAGAAGAAAAGTTTGTATCAATGTATGTCCTAAACCTCTTAGTTTTCGAGCTACAGGGTGTTGAACTTTTAGAAAAAATATCTTTTCTGTCATAATTTTCTTATTACTCCAGATATTTTTATCAAATTTCGGACGTGGACGTCACTGGTAATAGAAGAAAATTAATTTTTATCCAAAATAAAGTTTTTCCATGCATAGTGGGCGCTTACCAAATTTTAACAAAATATCAAAAGCAGTCTCAAAATTAACTTGGAAAAAATTGTTGAACATATATTAATAATAACTTTTCTTCTTAAATTCATCTAAATATTCACATCCTGAACTGTCGGCATTCAATTAATTAATACTCTAGTGACACCGTTATGTTGTTTTATTAAAG